ATGTGTTTGTTGATACACATTGATCTCTTAGCACTGCTTTTGCTGTGTTCCAAAGATTTTGACATGTTACGTTTTCTTTCATTGTTTCTAGAAATTTAAATTGCATCTTTGATTTCTTATATTATCCAGTGTTTTTAAGCAACATGTTATTTTCAGTTTCCATATATTTCTTGTTTTTTCCTTGCTCTTACAATCATTGATTTCTACTTTTATAGTTTTGTGATCCAAGCTTTCTCTTATTTCGATGGTTTGGATTTTATTGAAGCTGGTTTGTGGCCTGAAATGAGGTCTGTTCTAGAATATGATCCATGTGCTTTGGAAAAGAATGTAATCTTTGCTTCTGTTGGGAGAAGAGGTCTGTATGTTTGTGAGTTTGAGTGTGTTGATTGCGACATTTAGATCTTTTGTATCTTTGTTGAGTCTCTTTCTCGTTCCTCCATTTTTCACCAAAAGTGGTGTGTTGAAGTCTCCTACTATTACTGTATAACTGTCTCTCTCTCTTTTCAGTGCTGTTAGAGTTCATTTCATGTATATTTTGGAGCCGTGTCATTGAATGCTTATGTATTTATTATTATTATGTCCTCTTGGTGGGTAGATCTTTTAATCATTATGTAATGTCCTTTTATGGTAGGTTTTGTTTTAAACCCTATTTTATCAATGGTTAATACTTCCATTTCTACTCTTTTTTGATTCTTGTTTGTTTGATACACATTTTTGTATCCTTTGAGTTTTAGTTTATTTGTGTTTGTTTCTAAGGTGTGTCTCTTATGGAGAGCATATTGAGGGATCTTTTAAGCCATTTACATTCAGTGTGATTACCCATAGGTATGAGTTTACTGCTGTCATTTTGTTTCACTTTTTTGTATTTGATGTTGATGGTGTTTTTTCTGTGTAATTTTCTGTGCTGAATTATTTTTGTTTGTGAATTTTATTTTTGCTTTTGATTTTGTGTTTACTGAGTCTTTATATTTTTCTTTTTTACTTTAATAAGTAGGGTGTTTAAGTTTCTTTATGGTTACTTTGAAATGTACCTTTATATTTCTAAGTTTTAAGCTTATTTCTTGAGATCACTTTGACTTCCTCTCCATGTGAAAGTTCTATAGCTATACCACTTACCACTCCTTTTTGTTTTTGACATTGTCATCATTTTTTGGTTACCATATCTTGTTCCATGTTTTCAATGTTTCAGCTTATTTTTAATTTTGAGTATTCTTTATCTCAATTGGTATTTGAATGATGGTGTCCTGTGTTCTAATCTCAGATTGTTGTCTGATGTTGTTGGTTCTCTGTTCAAAGGAGTCCCTTTAATATTTCTTATAAGATTGAGCTGGTCTTTAAAAATCCCCTTAATTTTTGTTTATCTGGAAATGTTCTAATTTCATCGTCATATTTCAGAAACAATTATTCTGGATATATAATCCTTCGTTGGCAATTTTTCTTTCAGGGTTTTATATATGTCATGACATTGCCTTCTTGCCTACATTATTTCTGCCAAGTAATCAGAATATAGTTTTACTGGTTCCCCTTTGGAGGTGATTTTTCATTTTTCTCGAGATGCTTTCACGGTTCTTTCTGTGTCTTTGGCAAATTTGATTATGATATATCTTGTTGATTTTCTTTTGGAGTCTATTCTGTATGGGGTTCGTTGAGCCTGTTGAATGAATATTTTCTCATCTTTCATGATACTGGGAAAGTTTTCTGCCAATAAATCTTTGATATTTCTCTGAGTTCATTTTTTCCTTCTATTCTGGAATTCCATTTCATGTGTAAATTTTCCCTCTTGATAGCATCACAAAAAGTTCTTAGACTTTCTTCATTTTCCTTTATTCTTTTTTTCTGATTATTCCTCAAACACATTGATGGCCAGGAATTTGTCCTCCATTTTGCAATAATTTTGCCTTCTGTTGATTCCCTTTGTTCCTGTGTCCTCTTGTGTTGACTATTTCTGAAATTTTATTGTTAAACTGAGATTTCTGCTTGCTGTTTTTATATGGTTTCTAATTGTCTGTTTATTTTGTCATTTTCTTCTTGATTGTTTTCTTAACTTCTTCTATTGCTTTGTCTGTATTTTTCTTGATTTTATTTTTACTTTCTTTAGTTTTGTCTGTTTTCATTGGTCTCTGGGGGAGCCTTATATATCAGTCTTTTGAATTCCTTATCAAGCACTTCCATTAGCATTTCTTCCTTTGGAAGGCTTTCTGGTTCTTAATTTTGGTCAGTTGCTGGAACCATCTTGTCCCACTTCTTTTTGTGATTTGATAATGTCTATTTTTTCCAAGGTATTAAGGTGTTATTTGTTCGTTTGCGGCATCTTGGTTTTTTTGTTTTGTTTCATTTTGATGTATCTGAGAAGGAAGAACATACATGATAGTCTTATCGCTAATGTGGCCACACTGGAGCTCTCACCACTTTGCTCCAGGAGGGTAGAGTAGTGGCTGGATGTATAAGTGCAAATCTCTGTTTGCTGGTCTTACAAGGTGGCTGAGGATATAGTTGACTTTGTTGGTTAGGTGATGTACATTTTCTGCCTGTCACTTGAGTGTGGGTGCAGGGAATGTTCTCACTTGTCACTGGATTGGGTACTGTGTGTGTACATTGCCAGTTGCTTGGTGGTCGTGGTGTGGGTGCCCTGTCATCAGTCACTGAGTGGGTCATACAGGAACTCTCACCGATGCTCCCATTGGGCAGGGCTGTGCAGAAGTGATCAGAGCAGGTAAACATCTCCAGTTGCAGGGGGTGTATCATATGGGTTGTGAAGGGGGTACTGCCTGTCCATGGGTGCCTGGTAGGAAGCATGACCCTGTCTGCTGAAATACATTGTGGGTAGGTTGTATGTCTGGTTCTTGAGTTCCTGCCTGGAGGGATTAGGAGGTACAACTGGTCTGTGGGCTCCTGGCACAGGTGGCTGGGGCATAGGAGCAGGTGCCACCATTCCATGGGCCACTAGAGCTCTTGGCTGGGTCGAGATGCTGTAACTGCTGATCTGTAGCCGTACGGTAGGTGAGCAAAGGGGCAGGTGCCAGCGGTTCATGGGCCCTTGCTTGGGTTGGGTGGTATGGGTGCCACCAGTGCTTGATCATATGCAGGAAGGTGGATTGATGAGGGGCTTGGGGGACTTATAGCAGGTCCTTGGCCTCTGACAAAGGGCATAGGAGGTGCTGTGGGTAGGATGAGTACACTTCACTTTGGGAAGTACTCCTGCCTGACTCAGGATGTGGGTGCAGAGTTGCTACTGCTTGGCCGCACTAGATGGTGGGGACTTTGTCTGGGAACACTGCTTACTTTGTTTCAGTATAGCTGCACAGGGCAGGTTTGGCTGGCAGAGTGCTGGTGATCTATTACTCTCTTTGTCTACTGTCCTCATAGTATCTCCTCCTAGTTGGCACTCAGTCCAATTCTTTAGCCTTGCCTTTGATGCTAAGGTTTCCAAAGTTGTCTGCTGTACCCTGTTCACTTGTTTTTTGGGGTTTTTGTTTTAAGGAGGTACCTTATGAGGTATCTGACTATACTATCTGGACTGCCCTTCAACTTCATTCTTTTCATGTGGGTATCCTGTTGTCCCAGCAACATTCGTGGAAGACTTTTTTCCCCTTTGAAATGTTTTAGCACCATCGTTGAAATTCAGTTTATGTAAATGTAAAGGTTTATTTCTGGACTTTTAGTTCTATTGCTTTGATCTATTTTTGCATCCTCATGCCAGTACCATACTGTTTAAATTACTATATTTTCATAATAAAAATTTGAAATTAGGAAGTGTGAATCCCCCACCTTTGTTTCTCTTTTTAAAAAATTTGTTTTGGTTATTATAGGTCCTTCGCCCTTCCATATCAATTTTAGTATCAAATTGTTCATTTCTTTAAAATAAAAGACAAGTAAAATTTTAATAGAGATTACACTCATCTATAGATCAGTTGGGAGTATTGCCATTTAAAAAATTTTCCAATCCCATATCTTGAGGTGCTATTCCACATATTTAGATCTTTAATTCTTTTAAAGGAGCTCTGGTAGCACAGTGCCTAAGGCATCTGACTGTTGACCAGAAAGGTTGGTGGTTCAAACCCACCAGCCACTCTGAGGAAGCAAGACTGGGAATTCTACTTCCATAAAGATTTACCATCTCAGAAACCCAGTAGGGGTCGCTGTGAGTCAGAAATAACTCGATGGCAGTGGATTTGGTTTCTTTGGTTTTTAGTCCTTTTTAATTTATTTTGCAGCTTTCATTGTAGAAGTCTTTCATTTCTTTTGTTAAATTTATTCCCGAAGTATTATGTCGTTTTGATGCTATTATAAATCGACTTGTTTTCTTAATTTTATTCTCAGATTGTTCTTTGCTGTAGTGTATTTAAATAGAATTTTTAAAAATATATAGTTTGTACCCTATAATTTCCCTGAACTTGTCTTTTAGTTCTAATAGTTCTTTATGGATTACTTAGTATCTTCTGTGTACAAGGTCATGTCATCTGCAAATAAAGATAATCTTATTTTGTCCTTCAAATGTATCTTACTGTGTTAGTGGTGTGTGTGTATGCTATGGAAATAGATAGCCATATGCTTATAGAGCTTAAATTTCCTTAAGGTTTCAGCTTAAAATTTTTTGTAAGATTAATTTTTGTTTCTCTGTAAGATTAATTGATCTGTAAAATATATAGTCCATGTTAGGAATATGTTTATTGCTAAAATATGATGCAGAAGAGTCATATTAGAAAATGTTTTATTATGTAAATAAGAATTTGTGTGTTTCTAGACTTTCAGCACAATTGTTTTTCCTAACATTAATGTTTATATGAGAGAAGGAATAAAAGAGTTTATTATTAAGTTGTCTAATTTAGTTCATTGTTAGCTAAGCCACATTCATAATGACAGTGTTATTTATCTGTTTCTGACATGCTTAGCACATATTTACACTTGAAGTATATTAACTTCACTTGTCCTGAGAAAAATAGTCTTATGTTTACTTTTTCTTAGCACTGATTTGGAAATTTCTGCTTTTGATATGCTAGGTATAGCCCGGAAAAATCCCAGAACACCTCTGTCTGATCTTCAGGGTATGAATACTCTAAATGAAAAACATCAACAGTAAGTATGTTTGGTTTATGTTTTCAAGGAAGTGTAGAAGAAATAACTAGTATCCTTATTAATATTTTTATCACTTTAAAAGTAAATATATAGTAAATATTTATGTTTTGCTTTAAATTTTTAACTTGCAAACTCTTTATAAATGGTGAAATAACAAAGTAATAAGCTTAGACTTAACAAAACCAGTAAGACTGAATTGTTCAAGATGGCTATTCAGTTTTTAAAAGTTGTCTCTGAATAATTTAAAATGAGTTCATATGCTTTAGTTTCTGAGACCCTTCTTGCAGTTTATGATTTTTTTTTGCAAATTGTCAGGCTGTTCTGTTTTTTCAGTGGAGAAATCTTACTAGTACATAATTACTGAGTAATTCAATTTACATGAATTTTTTGTCTTACCAACACTTATCTTTTAACATCTTCAATGAAGATGAAGGCCATTTTAAAGAAACAAATATAAACTTTTTGAATTTTAAATAAAATTTCCTTGCCTTTTACACATTCCGTTACATAAAGTTTATACTTTATATGTGCAAGAGAGCATTATTTAGTTCCTAGAGTGTGCTTTCAACATTATAAACATGAAGAGAATTGACTTTCTCAATTTTCTACTTAAGGATTGTCTGTATTTCACTTGAACGTGTGACTTCATTGATAATTTCTTCAAATTTGAATTAATGTCTTTCTGAGTAACTTATCTACTCAATAACTTTTTAATAACTCTTTATTGCTTACTAAAAGAAATAAAAGAATGTCACCTGACATTTATCCTTAACCAACTTTATTCTCCTTAAATGCTGGCAAATAGAACTACTTACTATCTTTACCATGTATGCCTTTTGTTTTCTTAACACTTTTACTTGGCTAATGATAAAATCCAGTGCCAAAATTGCGTATTAAATGGTATCAAAGAACAAATTAGATCATAAATCCAGTGACTTGTGCCAAATCTGTCCACGGATAGTATTCTTACCCTGTTCATCAGAGACCCCTAACATCTGGAATTAATTTTCTTGTTTTGTATAGAGAAGAAAATGTACCTTACCCCATTTTACAAAGCAGTGTAATGACTACAAATCTCCTAATTCCTATTTGTGTTTCTTTCTTTGAATTTTTGATATTGGATATGTGAAGCTATCAGTATATTGGGAGGTTTCTATTTTTTAATTCACTGCAGTGTTTTCCAATCTCTGTCATATAGGACATAACACAGAAAATGAAATTTGTATGGTACCTTTGGATAAATTGAAGATGCTGACTGGTAGTAGGTAATTAGCTTGGGTCTTTATCCACCTCAAGTCTTTCCTAGCTGCCATGAGGAATCAATATCTCATTACATCAGTTGGGGATGCTCTGATATACTGATTTAAGATTGATCAGTCTGTCCTGAATTTAGGCACCAGTGGAAAGATAAACTAATTTTGTGAAGGTATTTATATAATTAATTTATGTGAACCCACTGCATACGGAACTTGATGGAATCTGCTGTATTCTTTTTCTCTATAAACAATAAAAATACATGGAATTGAAGTACAGGTAGTCCATGATAGGGTTCTGTTATGACAACTCTGTCATAAGTCACTTCAAGGTCAAATACCTTATAACAACTGATGCTTCTTACGAAACAGTAAATAAGATCACATTGTAGGCCTGGTCAGTAGTTGGTGTTAGTGTCATAATAATGCAATCAGAGATGTAATGGCTGGCGTGCATGTGTGCAGTTCATTTGTCATATGTCATTAGAGTTAAACATTGCCCAGCTCTCTGTTGTGACTCCTATCATCAGCTTCATTATGGATGAGGTCATACTTACCTGTAATGTAGTGCTTTGAACAGTAAATAATAAAATTGAACATTTGTGAGTGAGCATCTGAGAATAACATCAGTGAATTAAGCACTGTAACATTGTATGTAGTACACAATACTAAAATTTACAAAAAAACTAGATGTTAAGTGTGTTTCATAACTTGCATATGTTGTAAGCTGGGGATTACCTATAATGTTATTACGAAAAGGCCAGTTAGCTGTCTTAAGAGGTCCTTCACAATTTTGTTTACTCCATTGATAAATCTATTTTAGAGAAAATAGATGGGATGAGGGAGATGATAGAATAACACCAGAAAGCGACACCAGGTGCCATCAACTTGATTCCAACTCATGGTGACCCCATGTGTTTCAGAGTAGAACTGTGCTCATAGCATTTTCAGTGGCTGAGATCTCTTAGAAATAGGTCACCAGATCTTCATTTCGAGGCACTCTGGTTATATTTGAACAATTTTTCTTACATGGTATCTCTGGGTGGAATCTAACCACCAACCTTTCATTAGTATCCAAGTGAAAGTGAGATCAGCCATGATATCATTAGTTTAAGTTGTATCTACTAAGTGGAGCTTTTTGGACTTTCCCATGGAATTCTTCTTGTAACTGGTTGTGTTAGGTTGGGTTCTCTAGAAAACCAAAACCAGTAAAGCATATATATGGGGGGGGGGGGAGAGAGAGAGCGAGAGAGAGAGAAATTTATCTTAGGAAAATGGCTCACACACTTACAGAAGCTGGAAAGTCCCAAGTTCTTGGATCTAAAGTCAAGCTGGAGGCTTTTCCAGACTCAAGCAGCTGCAGGGGCTGACGAGCTCAAGGTTGGCAGGCAGTATACCAGCTATTGACTCCTACGAATCACGAATCCAAGATCACCAGGCCGAATGGTGGATTGTTCGCTCACGGACAGTTGTAGGCAGCACAACAGGATCCCGATCTATAGAAGAGTGTCTCATTTTCCCATAATGTCCATAAATATATTAGAAGCAGGCCACACCCCTAGGGAAACTCCTGTCAGTGGATTGGCTGCTCAAAACATATACATCCAATCTCATCATGGGAATAACCCACATTACATCTGCTTAAACCACTCAGACTCATGGTCTAGCCAAGTTGACACACAACTCCAACTATCACACTGGCTCTAAAGAATCGTACAAGCACAGTGACTCTCAGGAAGTTTCTTTCTTTCTTTTTTTTTTTAAATTTTTATTGTGGATTTGGATGAAAGTTTGTAGAGCAAATTCCCTTTCCATACAGCAGCTTGCATATACTTTGTCTCGTGACATTGACTACAGTTTCCTACAATGCGTCATCAGCTCCCCTTCCAGTTCCTCCCCATAGTTACATAGTTACCTCTTCCATGTGTCCTTCCCTCTCAGGAAGTTTCTTGGGATTAATCATTTTATTCTGACAGTAAGTTTATAAAGTGGAAGGACTGTTTTGTTTTTACTTCCAGAGTTATCAGCTGTATTTTCTAAGAATGTAGATAATCACTTTCATGTATATGCACAGAAGACCTTTGGTGTTATGCATTTAACAGTGACTTTCTTGTTTATTTAAAAATTACTATGAAACAAGTTCATTTATGCAAACCCACTGAACCATAAGATCTACTATGCTGGGAATGAAAAATAGAAGACGAATGGTGTGGCATTCATTGTCACAAAGAATGTTTCGAGATCTATCCTGAAGTACAATGCTGTCAGTGATAGGATAATATCCACATGCCTACAAGGAAGACCAGTTAATACTACTACTATTCAAATTTATGCACCAACCACCAAAGCCAAAGATGAGGAAATTGAAGATTTTTACCAACTTCTGCTGTCAGAAGTTGACCAAACATGCAATCAAGCTGTGTTGATTATCAGTGGTGATTGGAATGCAAAAGTTGGAAACAAACAAGATTCACTAGTAGTAGGGAAATATGGCCTTGGAGATAGAAATAATGCTGGAGATCGCATGATAGAATTTTGCAAGACCAATGACTTATTCATTGCAAATACTTTTTTTCAACAACACAGATGACGGCTATACACATGGACTTTGCCAGATGGGGAGTACACAGGAATCAGATTGAGCACATATGTGGAAAGAGGCGATAGACAAGCTCAGTATCTTCAGCCAAAACAAGGCCAGGAGCTAACTGTGGAACAGACCATCAGTTGCTCATATGCAAATTCAAGTTGAAGCTGAACAATTAAAAGAAGTCCAAGAGACCTTGATTATACCCTTCCTGAATTTAGAGACCATCTAAAGAGTAGATTTGAGGCATTAAACATGAATAACCAAAAACCAGAGGAATTATAGGATGACATCAAGAACATTACCCATGTACACCATCCGATCTGC